AAAAAGGGTGTGGGCGTTTCAGGTAGAGGGAATTTTCTGGAGGTGAAAGAGCTATCGTGTGTGGGATTTATGTCATGTTCCTGTTACCAGCCAATAGGGAGATTTGTACAGATATTGGAGGCTTTGGTCTGACTGGGATGGCCATAGTAATGATGGTTTGCCATTTTGGCTCCCTCTCCCAAGAGCCTCCGCCTCCTACATGATTATGATCTCAATTCTATTGCCTTTTTCCTACCACAAGTCCACCTTGTCAATCCCGAACCCCACGGAGAGACTCTATCAGCTCAGCTGCTTTCTCCCCTGGTATTTCCGGGTTGTATTAGGGGAGTGTTGGGGGAGAATGTCATGAAAATGAGACAATTGACACCTTTGAAAAGTTTAGTGAACTCAATGGAGTCCACACTCTTGATTAGCAATCTTCTGTTTAGCTCTAAGATTTCTTATCACATTCCCAGTCAAGCCCTTCTCTTCTGACAAATATTTAGAGAATGTCCACCAAATGTCTGGCATCATGCAGTCTTGAACCCAGTCTCGCCCCTTCACCCTCTACAGGTGATAACATACTGAGATGTACGCCACCACGATGTGTCAATCCCATTCATTCCTTTCTCCATTCCTGCATTACTATGCAAACGGTCATCCTTTCTTTAGAGAGTTCTTGTCTCTTTCAGGGCTTTATGTCATCAATTATTGCATCTCTTTAAACCATTACTCTGTTGCTCTTCACTGGATGATTCCCCTCAGCCAACAAATATTTGAGTTAGAGGTGAATATATATATGTTTTATATACTCTAAAATCAGGAGAAGAAAGGATGGAAGGAAGGAAGAAAGGAAGAAACAAAGGGAGAGAAGGAAGATCATGGAAAGAAAGATAAGAAGAGACCTTGCTATCCCTTCTGGTCAAACTATGGTTTTATTTCTCTCCCCACAACACTACCGAAATTTTCTAGAGTGTGTGTTAAAGACATGCTAACTCCTTAAGCCCTTGCAGTTTGGTTTTACTTTCTTTTCTCCCCTGAAACTGCCAGACTGGATGAGGAGGAGACCAGACCTGGAAGAGGAGGAGGAGACCAGACCAGAAGAGGAGGAATAAACCAGACCGGAAGAGGAGGAGGCGGCCAGACTGGAAGAGACGGAGGAGACCAGACCGGAAGAGGAGGACTAGAACAGACCGGAAGAGGAGGAATAGACCAGTCTGGAAGAGGAATAGACCAGACCGGAAGAGGAGGAGACAGGACCAGAAGAGGAATAGACCAGACCGGAAGAGGAGGACTAGAACAGACGGGAAGAGGAGGAGGAGACCAAACCGGAAGAGGAAGAAGAGGCCAGACCAGAAGAGCAGGAGGAGGCCAAATTAAGAATGCCTTCAGCTTGTACCCAAGGGATTGGAGAACGTTCCTCCATTTCCCTCCCGCCCAAGTCAGTTATTTATGGACGTTCACAGGGCTGACTCAGCTCCAATTCTTTCTTTACCATTTCTTATTAAGGTGCCTCACCTGCCCCACCTGTCT